TATAAAGGTCTATTAACAATTAAAATATATTTTTTAAAGTTTTGAAACTAAGGGCATTCTTAAAAGACTGGGGTAAAGGGAGGTGCTGGCATGGAAGAAGAGCAGAGAAAAAGCATTACTTGGTTTTCTTCTCATTTGTGTTGTGAGTATGTTGGGATGGAGGTGGAAGAAGGATTAACATACAGAGAAGACTAGACTCTGAAGAAATTTATTCTGAAAAGTACAATATAGCCACTCCAATCTTCTCTGATTGCCATATGGGAAATGGCCATTGGACCCCTACCTCAGGAAAAGCAGAGCAACTCAGCTAAAGTCTTTCTCTCTGTTCACTCCAGGGCTGGCTGTCCTGTCTTTTCAGATGCCATGGAAGAGCCAGAGGACCCACAACCTGAGGATATACAAACTGTACCCCAACCTGAGACCCTATCACTGACCCCTGCCCCCCAAACTCATCTGCATTATCCAAAATGGGTACCCTGGTTGTTCTTGCAGGCTCATGGCTGGAAGGCATTGTGTCTCCATTCTTTTCCACTTTGGGCTCCCAAAGATCATGATTCATTGGGGGATTGCTAATCAATGATCCTATAAAAGGGGCCCCTCCCATCTCATACCACCTAATCCTCCTCATTTGTTGCTGTTGTTCTATTTTTTTCTTTTCTAGCTCCTTCTGCTCCAGTGATAAATCCACAGGCCCCCAACTCAGCTACAGGTTCCTCGGTCCGGGTGTGCTGGAGCTTATACTCTGATGACACTGTGGAGAGCTATCAGCTATCCTACCGGCCAGTGCAAGACAGCTCACTTGGAAAGGACCAAGCAGGTGAGGCTCTACCAGGAATATGCTCACATCCATGGGAATGGTTCAGGCCTCTCAGAGGACCAGACACTGCCTTCTTGGCAGCTGGGATGGTGAAGAAGAGAGGAGTCTGAATGTAGAGCATCTGGGAATGCCCAGAGTATGGCAGAAAGGCAAGCTGGGGCCTGACTGAGACCCAGAGAGAAATGAGCTGTCTGTGTGGACCCAGGGAGTTTGGCAGAACCAGGGTGAGAACAGGTCTTAAGGCTCCCTGCCTACCATACCAGGCCATGCAAGTGGAGAGCTCTGAATTCCAGAAGGTGAGGATGATGTTTCTATCCAGGGACCAGGAAGGAAGTGAAATTCTTGAGTAAGTTTATGTGATGATGAGAGAGGAGGAGGGTGGATCATATGAACAAGAGAACTTTAAGGGAAAGGAAAAGGGAGGATGGGGATCAAGAAGTCAAACCTGCACACCTGTAATCCCACCGGCTCTGGACGCAGAGGGAGGATCACAAGTTCAAAGGAAGTCAAACCTGAATAATCACAGCTTTTGCTACAAACTAACCATGCTAGCACCCTCTGCCGACTTGCAGAGGCCATTGTGTGGGGGCTATGTCGTGGAAATTTTTTGAAGGTCTTTTAAATGGACCCTGCTGTCATAAAGGAATTGGTATCAAATGGTGGATTTGAGTTATCACTGCCTTGCAGGTTTCTGAGGAGGAATGGAGTTGTTATCATTTCATTTTTGCTACATAATAATACACCCCCCTACCCTGCAACCTAGTGGCTTCAAATAAAAAAACATTTATGATCTCCTATAACTCTATGGGTTGACTGGACAACTCTGGTCTGAGCCACCTTGAGTAGGACTGGATTGTCTAGGGTGACCTCACTAATCTAGTGCCTCACCGGGGATGGCTGCAATGGCTTGGGTGCTAGGGCTGTTCCATGTTGTCTCACAACCTCCAAGAGACGGGCTTGGACTTGTTCCCATGTAGTGGAAGCATTCCTAGCAGCCCCTGTGCACTAGCACTTCCCAAGCCTCTGTTTATATCATATTTGTCATTGCCTTATCATTGAAAGCAAGTCCCAGAAGCAAGTCAAATAGGTAAGTCCAGTTTTAAATAATAGCAAGAAAGAACCTCTTAAAAGGAGGAACAACAAAGTCACATTGCAGAGAGCCATCCATATAAGGATGGGTGTAATTTGCAGCCAGTTTTATAATCTACTACAGTGGAATTCAGCATAATGAACTTGGAGCCACTTGGCCTATTAAAGGTTGAATTCTTTTTTCCCCCCCAGAGTTTACAGTGACCGTCAAAGAAACATATTGCTCAGTGGCAAACCTTGAACCAAATACCCAGTATGAATTTTGGGTCATTGCTCAGAACAGAGCTGGCCCCAGTCCTTCCAGCGAGCGTGCAGTATACATGACAGGTAATGAGGACCACTTATTTTCTATAGCAGGGTTTTTATTTCAGGGTACACCAGGGCACAGGTTTCTACAGGTAATAGGGCTCGTGTTTTCATTTGAAATGGCAGAAAGGGCTGTGTGATTCTTATATGTGTGTGGTTTTATTTAATACACCAAATCTATGTGCCTGATACAGCAGATACATTTTCTTATGGTTGATCTCAAAAAATGTTATACTTGGCCACACTGACATTTGAGCATTAGGATATCCTCTGCTCCAAGAATATCAACAGGGATTCCCTGGTGCTGTGGTGTGTGAGTGTGTGTGTGTGTTGCTGAGGATGGATCCCAGCGTCTCATGCATGCTAGGCAAGTGCTCTACCACTGAGCTACATACCCAAGCCCTTCTTGGTGCTTTTTATTGCATTGTATCTTTTCTGTGGGAGGAAGAGGGTGGTTAAGATATTTGTCCACAGCTCTGAACAAAATGACTAGAAATGAACATAATGGTTTTTCATCTCTTTTTTCTCCTACCTTTAGCCCCATCTCCTCCCATTATAAAAAGCAAAGAGATAAGGAGCTGTGAAGAGGCTGCATTCATTTGCTGGGAGTCTGGGAATCTGAATCCTGTGGACTCATACACAGTGGAGCTGACCCAAGCAGAAACACCAGAAGCCTTGGGAGTAACTGAGTGAGTTATAAGGGCATTTGCTGGGCTACTTAGAAAGTGTGTAGAATCTGGAGAGAAGTTCAGAATTTGTGACACATAGGAATCTTAATTTTAGATTGCTTGGTTTTCATGAGAAGTAGCTGAAATACTATTATTGAAAGTGAATGATGAGCAAGTAAGTAAATAAATGGATAAATCTCATGTTTACTCCCCCCCCCATTCCCAGTATGGTTTCCCATTCATTCATTCAACAAATATGGAGAGCCTAGGTGGTACCAGGTCCTGGGGAGGGGAGCCACTGGGAATCTAGAAAGACCACTCCCTGCCCTATGTTAGTCAAACTGAAGAAACAAACAAACAAAAAACCCTGAAAACACCCATGTGTAAAATACTCAGTGCTCTGAAGCACTCAAGTGCTAGGAAGAAAAATGAAATGTAATTAATTAGAGAATGGAGGTGGATATGGAAACCACCTTTGGATAGAGTAGACATTTAAACTGAGAGCAGGACAGATGGGAGGGACTGAGCTGGAGAGTAGTTGACACCTGGCTGCTCCATCCTTGGACAGGAGCTACCTGACACAGGCCCCAGGGCAGGAGAGAGCTGGAAATGCTAGAGGAACTAAGAGATCCATCTGTCTGGAATTCAGGGAGGAGAGTGAGAGGGGAATGAGGAAAGACCAGGTATTGCAGTTCAATATACAAAGAATATTGTCTATTGTAGAGGGTTGTCTGTAGGCTCATGTTCACCTAGCATTTCAGAGCAAAATCATTCGCAAGTAGATGAGGCCTGGACTCCATGACCATCAGGGTCTACAGATCTGATAAGTCAGCTGTGTATAGCAGAGGAAACATAGATGTTCCATTGTCTTACAACCAGGAGTCCAGAACCTTGTAGAAAGGGAACAAACCCACTAGGCAGGCCAACACTAGCCACTGCATGCAAGACAGCCTGTTGTGAAGCATAGGGGTGCATGGAGCTGGCCCTGGAGAAATGGTGGAGTTTGGAGTCAGCCATAAGGGAAGCAGATTCTTCTGTGCTAAATGCTGGCCTTGGAACATGACCATTTATATCATCTAGCTCTTCTAGGTGAAGTCTATGTGTCCATAGCCACATTAAGGCTAACCTTGGTTTTCTACTCCTATAGATACTCAGGAATCAGGCAGGGTGGTAGGGGTGTCCACTGCTTCTGGTCACTCTAGTGGTTTAAGTTTTCCTTTGCAGTTTGTGCTGATAACTTCAGAGCACCAGACACCTGGGACAAACCTTTAATGATGGGGCACTCAGAGGGCTTGTCAATGGCTTGAGTTATCTGGGTGGTATTTATTCTCCTAGTACAAATACAGTTTTGACCTCCCATTGTTGAAGGAAAGGCAAAACTCCTTCACAGGCTTTGGACCCTTTGCCTCTCCAGCTCATCCCACACTGGCTCCTCCTCCCTCTTCAGCTCTAGTCACATAGGTCATATTTTAGTTCCTCTTACTTTCCTTGCTCCTCCATGCCATGTGACCTTTCCATATGCTTTGCCTTCCATGTAGAAGACTTTTCTATCCCCCTTTTCTCCAGTTATTTCCTAGTCATTCTTCGGAACTCAACTTCCTCCCCCAGATACTCTACAGCACACTGTGGACTTGTAATGGTTATCACAGCAATTGCTTGAGGAACGCCTTTCTTCCCATCTAGACTGCAAGCTCTAGGAAGGCAGGCATTGCATTTGGTTTTCCCCCAGGCTTCCCTATACAGTATCTAGAACCTAAGGTGCTTAGTTAATATCTACTGAAAGAATAAGCAAAGGTGCCTCTCTGGCCTGAAGCTGCATTCTCCAAGATGGTGTGAACATCCTGGCCCTGTATGGGTGAGGGTGTTATATCTGTAGATGAGCATAACTCTGAAGATTTCTCTTGCCCACTGGCCTGAAATGGGGTTAAAACCACAGGAATAAAGATAGTGGCAATTGTGAGTTTATATTATCAAATAATACAATAGTAATGAATTGGATTATTCCCAAAGGGCAGCTTTCCTCCAAGAGTGTGGGTATCAAGGTGGACTTCAGGGGACCCTTTGGTTCTGATCAGTCATTTGTTCATAGACACATACTAAGAACTTTCTTTGGGCCCACCATGGTACTGCAGTTAATAGTACTCAGTCACTGCCCTCAGAGAGGTCATGATCCTAATAGCCAGATGGAGATATGCTGGATTTTACTACATGAATGATCCATGATGCTGCATTTACCAAGTCTAGTGCTGGGTGCTTGGGAGACTTGGGTAAGGAGTTTGGAAGGGAAACAGCAACAGACACAAGTAAGAAAGTGGACTACAGGTTTTCTAAGGGCAACTGAGGAGGAGCCAGTACTTTTGACTATACTGCTGCAGGTCAAAAGATGGTGAAAACAAGAGTGTTTTTAAAATCCCTGTTTTGAAAGGGACATGTGGCACTTGGGCCTGGATGCCCTGACCTCATGCTGACTGCATCTCTACTTCTTTGCCCAGGTCTGTTGTGGGCATCCCAACCTGTGAGTCCCTGATACAGCTACAGCCCAGGCAGTGCTATACCATCTACGTGAGAGCCCTCAATGTTGGGGGTCCCAGCGCCAGGAGTGATCCTGCTACAGTCCACACCACAGGTCTGTGCCCTGGCCCACACACTCTGTGACCCAAGGTGGCCACTTCTTGGCACACTCAGTGCTGCTATGACTTAAAAAAAATACAGATGAATATAGGTAGATATGAACACATGGCAAGTCAGGCCTGGAAGGAGCTCATGGACAATCAAAGCCTTCTGTTCTCATTTAACAGATCAAAGACTGAAGGCCCAAGACACTATTTTGTGGCCCAGTGAGCATTAGAACTCAGGGTTTTTCCTTTTTTTTTTTTTTGGTAGTGGTAGACGGATAGCATGCCTTTATTTTATTTGTTTTCTTTGCTGAGAATCGAACCCAGTGCCTCACATGCTAGGCAAGTATTCTGCAACTGAGCCACAATCCCAGCCCAGAACTCAAGGCTTTTTTTTTCAGGCCCAAGTTGGACTAGAGGCTTGTCCCACTGGATCTGGGTGGCTCAAGCACATCATATATCTTATACAAATTGAATAACTCTCTTGAGACCAGGTCTTTTTTTTTTTTTTTTTTTTTTTAAATAAAGAGAGAGTGAGAGAGGGGAGAGAGAGAGAGAGAGAATTTTTTTTTTTAATATTTATTTTTTAGTTCTCGGCAGACACAACATCTTTGTTTGTACGTGGTGCTGAGGATCGAACCCGGGCCGCACGCATGCCAGGCGAGCGCGCTACCGCTTGAGCCACATCCCCAGCCAGAGACCAGGTCTTTATGAAATTACCAAAAGTCACTGGCCTCTGCTTACCTCCCTGTTCCTGCTTTGTGTCCAAGCCATCTCCCTGGCTCAAGTCAGTTGTCCAGCCTTCTCTTTGGCCCTAGGGGATACTCATATTCCTTCTCATTTGCCATTATTCTGTCAGAGAACTGTCACATCTCACATCCAAGTCTTGAGTTAGCAGAGACCTCACTAGAAATACCCACACATCTCCTATTATCCTGGCTCTGCTCTCTGAGATTTGCCAAAGTACACAGAAGCCAGGCGGGTCTCCCCACACCTTAGAGCAGAACCAGCCAAGCCAGCTGAGTGGGTGATTTACAGGTAAGCAGCAGAAGCAGGGAGCCTGGCTCCGGGTCAGGGACATTTCCTTAACTAGGATATTTCACTGAGACACATTGTGTTATTTTGTCCTCATTACCAATGCTAGGAGGAGAGGTCTTGCGATTAACCCCCATTTATATTCCTTCCACACAGATGGGAAAAACAAGTTCAAGGGCCACCTAAGGACACAGAGCTGGAAAAGATTACTGCTAGCATTACGATTTGGGTTTTTCTTTCATCTAGTGCTGGGCCTTCCTTCAGTTGCCTAGTGCTTCAAATTCTTGAGCCAATCTGGTATTTTGAAATACCAAATTCTGTTTCAATAAGAGAATGGAGAGCAAAAGTACAGCTAGCTTGATTATTCAGTAATCTCTGATTTGTTTAAATAATTTTTTAGCATGCACACTATTTTTTTTAAAGAGAGAGAGAGAGAGAGAGAGAGAGAGAGAGTTTTTAAAATATTTATTCTTTTTTAGTTCTTGGCGGACACAACATCTTTGTTTTTGTATGTGGTGCCGAGAATTGAACCGGGCCGCATGCATGCCAGGCAAGCGCGCTACCGCTTGAGCCACATCCCCAGCCCCATAGCATGCACACTATTAATGGAAAACTAAAATAAATATGAATCAGGGCTGGGGTTGTGGCTCAGTGGTAGAGCACTTGCCTAGGACGGATGAGGGACTGGGTTCAATCCTCAGAAACATATTCAAATAAAGATATAGTGTCCATCTACAACAAAAAAGTATTTTAAAAAATGAATATGAATCAGCAAAAAACACATATACATACATATGTATACATTTTTATATATATATATATATATATATATATATATATATTCATACATAAATGTTCGTATGTATGTTTGGGACCAGAAATCAGCCAATAAGGGCCACACATTGTTAGTTGTGAGGTAGAAACACGGCTCCCCCACCAGTCATCTCAGATAGTAAATGAAGTTCCCAATAGCATCAGATTGTGGGAAATAATCATGAACAGTTTGGTGGTGATGCTTGAACTCATCTGAGACAATTAGAAGTGACAAAATGGGACCTTAGAAAAGCTTGACTAAGGGACTGTAATGGCAAATGAGTTGCTATGTTCCTAAAATAGTGGGGGTTTTTAATACTGATAATTTTTAATTAGATCTATTTTGAACCACTTTTTGATGAGCTTTCTTTTCATCATGACTTGGGGATGAATGATCTCCTGCCCTAACTGCAAAGTGAAACTTTGATTTTGCTAACCTTTGTCAAGTGGATCATTATAAATTGCCTCAAGGCTTGGCACGTAGCACACACCTGTAGCACACACCTCTAGCTACATAGAGGCTGAGGCAATAAGATTGGAAATTTGAGGCCAATTTCTGCAACTTAGTGGGACCCTGTCTCAAAATAAAATTTAAAAAGGGCTAGGGGGATGTACTCAGTGGTAAGGCACCCCTAGGCTCACTCTCTGGAATGGCAAAGGGGGGGCATTCCTTCAATTTGTTTCTCTTGGTAAAAAAGCTGGACATTCTTATCCAAGTGCAGGTGTTTACAGCTTACAAATTAAGAGCACAGCCTCTAAAATCAAGTATGGGGTTCAAATCTGAGGTCTATCATGTGCCAGCCCATTTCCTAACCATCTGTGCCTCAGTATCTTCATCTACAAAATAGAACTAGTAACACCTGTTTCTAAGAGTAATCATGAGGACTGAAAGAAGTGAGTCTTGCAAATTGCTTAGGGCTGTGCTAAGCACGCAAGAACTACCTCATACACGGTAAATGTCATCCTGAACTCATAGGATAGCTACAACTGCAAAGAGCAGGCTTAAGCGGATCCCACACAAAGCTAATCCTACCATGCTGTGGAGTAAAATGACTGGCTTCAGGGGATGGGGGGTGGGAGGGGCACCAGGAGGGGAATCATCTGGGTCCAGGTATTCCCTTCTTCCACAGGAAGCTACTTTCACCTGAACAAGAACACCTGTCATCCCTGGTTGACCATTTCTAAAGACGGGTTTACAGTGGTGCGAAGTGAAAGGAAAATTCATACAAGAGAACCGCTACCCAGCAAGACTCAGTTTACCAGGTACTTTATTGACTGAAATTCCCTAATGACACTGTTATTCAGGGAGAACTGGATTATGTTAAACAGATGCAGCCTAGAAAGAAATGAGTGAAGAGGTAGGAGCCTAGTGGAGGGAGATGAGGAGATGATACGGGCAGTTGAGGCCTGGGCTGAGATCATGACACCAAGAGATGTGAGTTAGGCTGTTAGACTGTGCAAGAGCACAAACACCACTATTGTCTTCTACTAATTAGTCCAGTGTGCTTCCTCCTACACTGTGGTACCTTATACCAAAACTCCTATAGGATATTGGGCGATGGAATGCCGGCCCTAAAGCTCATCATTGAGCCTGTATGTGACCTGAGTGATGGGTTTCACCAAAGATGCTGGTTAGCTATCTAGTTCTCTAGCTACATCCAGAGCTTAGTACTCGATGTTGAAGTGACTTATTTATACCATCCTCCTTCCCAAAAATGCATAAAAAGGGCAAATAGAGATAGAAACATTAAAGCAATAGGAGAATAAGAACACAGATTGGTTAAGTTCAAAGGTTAATTCAGTTTCCATTAAACATGGCCTCTCAAGCCGGTGTTGGTGGCACATGCCTATAATAGCAACTTGGAAGGCTAAGGGAGGAAGAACCCAAGTTTAAGGTAGGAGTCTGGTAGGATGAAGATGAGGAGATGATATGGGCAGTTGAGGCCTGGGCTGAGATCATGGCACCAAGAGATGTGAGTTAGGCTGTCAGGCTGTGCAAGAGCAACATAGTGGGACCTTGTCTCAAACTAACATGAAAAAGTTTGGGAATGTAGGTCAGTGGAAGAGAGCTTGCCTAGCATGTACAAGACCCTGGGGTTGATCCCCAGAACCAAATACAATTAAGTTGGAGGTTACCTTGCCCACCTTGTAGAAGTGTATCAAGGATCCAGTAAGCCATTGCTCAGTAGACATTTGTTGCTGAGGTTGTTGGACTTGGGAGAGAGGCCTGTCTGGGCCCAGATCTCACTCAGATTTTCCTTTGGAAATAATGATGTGATCTGACTTTTTATAGAACATATCATAACTCTGACCTTTGTCAGTATAAATCTCAGTGGAACTTTGGAGGTAGAGTTTGAGGATTTGTGAGGGATGCTTGCTATCTTGCAATTCTTGAGGCAGCCTCTGAATTCTTATCTTCTCCCTGGAGTCATCCATTAAATAGGATTACCTCAGACCCCCTTCATGTTTGTTTGGTACCATAAGCAAGTGCTGGCCAATGAACTTCAAGCGTATCATTCCCTTTGCTGCATTCTCTTGAGTTTTTAATCCCTTTTTTAGTGAACAAATGAATCTAACCTTTATTACCAGAAAAGCCCCAATTTTTAAGAGCAAGCAGAACCTATTCTGTGGGTTGTCTCCTCTTCTCCCATCATCAAACAGTGTATGTTCCTCTTACAACCTTTAGCATCAGCCACTGAGTTTTCACAGCTTTACAAGTGATGTGTCAAGCACCTACGTCCACATTCACAGACCACCTGCTTACTGACACCAGCAGATGGTGTCATTCATCTGCACAGTCAGGCTTGGGACACCCTCAAATCAGATATGCTTCCACTTTCTAAAACCAGGTGTGTTGCTGTCATGGGAAATCTAATTCCAGTCCGAGGGCGCCACTACTGGGAGGTGGAGGTGGATGAGTGTTTGGACTACACAGTGGGTGTGGCCTTTGAAGATGTCCCTAAGCAGGAAGACCTGGGAGCAAACTGCTACTCCTGGTGCATGAGGCACACATTTGCATCATCAAGGTAAAGTAAAAGCTGAATACCGGAGATTAAAAGTTGAATTTCGGTGAGAGGTTTTCACTAACAATAACTAAGGCCCACATTATAAAATATTCCCACCTGGGAGATGCTGTCATCCACTTTTCTTAAGTCCAAATGAGAAGATAGCAAGCAACTTTTCTCCAAAAATAACATAAATAAAATTCATAGAGAACTCATTTAGATGCCAATACTGTTCTAGCCCTCTTACATGCATTATCTTTACTTTTCACAATTTTATTACCCCATTTTAAAAATAAGGCTGCACCTCATAGGTGTTAGATAAGTCTACCCAATAGATTGAGCTTGAATTCAAACCCAGGCAGTCTGGCTTCACTGACTGAATTCCTAACCAACTAAGTGACTGCTTTTTCATTTATGTTCAGCATCAGTGTTAAGTGGCTACAGTCTGATTTGAAGCCCCAATTCCATCTTTTTAAGTAAATGTGAGTAAGAGGCTTAGTGTCTACAGCTTCTGCAGCTGAGCTGTCTTTACATGTGGAATAGTTCAGTGTTGCTGGAAGAAAACTCTGAAAGAATGCAGGCCAATAGACAAAACTTTAGTCTTAAAGGGCTCTGTTACAACCTTCGTCACTTCAAAAATTGAAAACACACACACATACACACACACACACACACAAAAAAAAACCCACAACAAAACCCCACATTGCTTTCCCAGCACCTCTTGTAATATGGAGCCTCGGACCCTCCTTGGCTTGATGAATCCTAATGTTCATCCAGTGTTCTCTGCTACTCTCTATCGTGGTTATTTAAAACCTTATTGTCATGCCCAAGCATAAATGGCAAGGCTAGCTTTCCCCCATAAGAGATTTAGATTATACTGGACTCTACTGAACTTCAGAACAAGTTTGGGGCATGTTTTTGTCAGCTCTTTTGCCCATGTCCAAAAGACCTGACAAGAACAATTTTAGAAGAGGAAAAGTTTATTTGGGACTTATGGTTTCAGAGGCCTGTCCTAGACAGCCAACTCTCCATTGCTCTGGGCCCAAAACAAGGCACCATCAAGGTGGAAGTGTGTGGTGAAGGAAGACAACTCAGGACATGGTCATCAGGAAGCAGATAGAGTTGTGCTCTCCAGGAACAAAATAGATACTGCAAAATTAAGTCCCCAATGCCCCTACCTCCTACCTGCTTACAATGACCACCCAGTTAATCCCTAGCAGGAGATGAATGCACTGATTAGGTCTAAGCTCTCATAAATAAATAATTTTACTTCTATACTTTCTTGCATTGTATTACACATGAGCTTTTGGGGGACATCTCCTATCTAAACCACAACCAGGAGGCAAGAATTACTATGTACTAAGCCAGATATGGGGATTCTGCCTAAAGTAAGAATAAAATTCAAAGTCTCATTTCAGAAAGGTAAGAACAAGGGCAGCTGGGTTTGGTGGCAAACACCTGTAATCTCAACTACCGGGAAGGCTGACAGGAGGATCATGAGTTCCGGGCCTACCTGAGCAATTTAGCAAGACTGTCTCAAAACAAAATTTCAAAAGGTTGGGGGTGTAGTTCAGTGGCAGAGCCACTTGCCCAGCATGTGCAAAGCCTTGGGTTCAATCTCCACTATGGGAGGTGGGGACAAGGGGCAGAGTGAAATGGAAGTATAAAAGAAACAGGAGTCTGTGTGTAGTGCGAAAGGTGTGGACATGAGAAGACAGGAGTAGCAATGACAGAACATGACAAAAGAGAGCAAAAACAAAGCCTGCAGCTTGAGCAGGAGTGGAGAATGAGGATAAGGTCTGCTAGTGAGCTATAGTTTTTTTGTTCATGGTCTTGGACTCTATTGGTGGTGACACGAAAGGTAGAGAAAGGACTCATTTAACTTCTGTTAGCTGTTCAGGTGAAAAAAGGAGGCAAGATAAGGTGAGTTAGGATGGAGACAGGCTGGCTTGCTCTGACACATTTAGATCATGTTCTAAGCATACATCCCAGCATACATCCCAGGATTCTGAACTGGCATGCTGGTGCACAGACCTCTTCAGATGTCTGCATGTTGTAGGATTAGGACATGCCTATGGTTGATTTGGGTTTCAGCCATTTTCCAAAAGCACACAGGATACAGATATGGATAAAGGGTGCTCGTGCTACCAAACACCAAAAAAATAGTCCTAATGACAGCAGATGCCCTGCTTACTTTAAGAACTAGATGCTTCAAGTACCTGTGTACTTAAAAGAGTTTAGACCCAAAGGCCTATTTTATCACATGAAAGACCACAGGGTTGCACTCAAATGTCTTTATTATAAATGATCTACACATTTAAGCCTTGAGATCCAAATGTTTCAAATGTGTTCTATTTCTGTACTGTGATGTAGTATGAAATCATGATTTTGTATGTTTCTTAGGTTAACAAGTTGCTCAATAACAGTTTGAAAACGTGTCTTAGGATATGTTTGAAAAGAGTATAGCTTTGGGGATGGCCTATTTGGTAGTCATTTAATAAAAAAAAAATAGCAAAAGTATAGAAGTACTATTAAGTTACTGAGATATTTTATAAATACTTCACGTAGAGAATTTCTGAAGCTTTGTTGTGTCAATGTTTAACTTTCAGGCATAAGTATGAATTTCTGCACAACAGGACAACTCCAGATATACGAATAACAGTTTCCCCGAAGAAGATTGGTATTCTATTAGACTATGAAAATTCAAAATTGTCATTTTTCAACGTAGACATTTCTCAACATCTATACACATTCAATTGTCAGCTTCACCAATTTGTACATCCCTGTTTTTCTTTGGAAAAGCCAGGGTGTCTAAAGATACATAATGGCATTTTAATGCCAATGCACGTCACTTTTTATTAGACCCTCTGATGTCATTTCTTGTCTCTCTTCTGTATTTAACCCTGTCAGTCACTCATCCTCCACTGGCCAAAGTTGGCATCCAAGCACCACGCGCTGAGCATAATTTGGCTCATGTTATTATATGGCAGAGTGGTGTGCTGCCACTCTTCTCACCTGACCTGGATTCTAGTCCTGAGCAGAGTTATTTGCAAGATGCTAGGGTAGTCACTGTCAGGCCCAGCTGTGAAATGATGGATTGCACTAAATGAACTCATAAGACTTTCAAGTAGTCAAACTACCATTTGTCAATCTGTATATGTGCAAACTGTAATGAATCTCTAAGTCCTATGGAGCTTGGCAGAGGATAAGGAAAGTCCATGGCTTCAGCAGCCTCTCCATACTCATCACATTTCATTAGTATAAAGAACAGATTTGAGAGGACAAGAAGCTGGCCAAAGAGAGCAAGGGAAGATTTGTGCCTTTCTGGAAGTAGAATCTCCCTGTTTCCCAACAGCAGCACTGTGGTGAGATTCCAACCACTGTATGCTTTAATACCTTGCACTCTCCTTCGTGGTGCTCACATTACTAACTTTGAAATTACCCCTATAATGAGTAATTCCATGAAGGTAGGCATGCAAAAGGATCTGTCATTTGATCCCCAAATGCTAACATGTAACAGGTGCACACCAAATACTTGTTGAGTAAATGAATATCTTCTTCATCTAACCACTGCTCTTTGGCTGCTCACTGCTCTCCACATGAGGGCTGGCAGGGCTCTTTCAAAACTATAGCAAAGGACCTACATATAGCCAGGAGATGAGCAAAATCTGAAGGGAAATATTAAGAAGAAACAGAAGGGTATGTATGTCTTGGTGGCAAGACAGGGAAAACCAGGGCACTACTTACTATTAAACACTAACCACAAATGTGGTGTTTTCATTGTGTGCATGTGCCTAAGTGGAGAACTGAGGGGATAGATGGGAAAAAAATTAGAAAACATTAGTTGCAACTGATTCTAGGAATTGTCTTGTAATATAAAGAGCCAGATTTGAAAACAGGAACCTGGGTTTGATTGCTACTTTGTTGCTACTTCGCCTTATGACCTGGAAAAAAGTCACCTTATCCAGACCTTCTGTTTCCCTTCAAAGGGAAAAACAATACTTGTCTCATAGGACTGGGTGACTTAACAACAAACCGAGAGTGTTTAACAATATGTGGCACAGAGCAAATATACAATTTTTTAAAGAAATCCACCCACCACAGGGCAGAGCTGAGTACTGGTGAGAAGAGTGGTGTGCAGCCAGTGGCTCCAGGGCATCGTGTCTCATGGTCCTGGTGCCATTCAGTAACCTTGGTGCTCTGTCAGTACATTGTTCTTCAGTTCCAGTTTCTAGATGCCACTTAAACTCTGCACACACAGCATTTCAAAGCTTGAGTCAAATTGCAAAGTAACAACTCCAGATGCTCTCTAAACAACACAAGATATGCCTAACTCTCATCACATAAGGATCTGTAAATGAAAAAAACTTTTCACTTTGAAATGTTCACACTTGCCACCACACTCAAAACTGGACACACCAAACACCTCTCACCTCCTACTGAACTTTGCCTACTGGTATAAAGAACAGCTCAGATTCCTGAATTAACCACTTACCGTGACAACAGTTCTTCGTAGATAAACACCTGCCCTACCAAGCTCTAACACCTACTCTGAAATAAGAAAGGTGCAGCAGATATAAGCTCAGAAATGGTTCAAGTTATAAACAATTAAAATACACATAAGTATATTTAAAGATGTTCTCAGCTACTAAAATAGAAACAACCAAACAGGAAATATGATATCATATATTAGGCAAATTTTAATTCAGAGTTCTAATAGGCTTTATGTATAGAGTACATCACATGTAATAAGAACATGGATGAATGGATAAAATGATAAAAACTTGACACCTATGGGGTTTTAATAAAATTTTATTTGATCAAGAAAAAAACTGTCTAAAATTATCTTTGACTTTTAAAAACCGCTTAAACAAGGAATATGAACAATTTCAATTATCACAATTATTCAGCATACAGATCACTTGTTTAAGGGCTAAGTATGTGGCTCAGTGGTAGAGCATTTGCCTATCATATCCAAGGCCCTGGGTTCCAATAACCACCCCCCCACACACACACACACAAAGGAAGAAGAAAAGAACTTTTGTTTAAGTATCATTCCATCTTCTAGAAGAAGAAAAAAAAATCATTCAAGAATAAAGTCAAACAAAACTTTTGCTTTTCCTAAGACTCAATTCCTTAAAATACTACTGAAACTAAATTTCAACAAGGGGCAGGGTTTACCTCATGGCCATGTACACTTGCAACCTGCTGGTAAATCTGTTAAAAAAAAAAAACAGAAAAAAAAGATTTCTTAAAAATTAGACCACTATAATCACAATCCCTAATATTGGGCAATTTAAAAAAAAATCAAAATCTTTTCTTAGCTTTACCTGTGTCACTTTATAACTCTTGTTACATAAGCTTTGGTTTCCTAGTTTAATGAAGGGGAAAGAGAATATGAACAACTACAGAATCCTGGTGAAAACCACCAAGGGTTTAGTAATCCAAATTTCAGAATTTAAAATACTCTTACTAGATGGAATTGGAAAGTTGCTTAGCAACTTGGGACATAAAATGACATTGGTTCCTGGTAAAATTAAATTGTCTTTTATTTATCAAAGTACATGTTTAATAATTGACTTCCTGCTGGTTCAAATGATACACAATCACCTGTACATACCCAGTAAAATATTTCTGAAGCATGTACTTGGTCAGGAGTATAAAACAGAGTATATGAGTGGGCAGTGGGACCTTCTTAATATTTCTCATCCTCCAAAATTTGTTAAAATCATAAATCTTAACACAACTCCCACCCTGGAAACTGCCCCAGCACAGTTCACTGTGTTGTGTCATTCTGTAAGTAAGACCACATTCGCCTCCATCCAAGGAGGTTCAGGTACCAGAAAACTTTCTGAACTCTCTGAAGCCTGCACTATGAGAAAACATCCTCTCCTCAACTTACCAATACCACTTCTCCAATTTCTAGTAACCTTCCTACGAATTAATAGAGTTAAAATTCTATGTTCCTTATGCCTTTCTCCACTCTTCTCATCTAATATTTTTTTTTCTATGTGCTATAGTTTGATGACATATAACTGCTGTTGGTAGATAAGTAGGTCTTGAATTTTTTTTGCAAACAAGACCTGTTCTATCTACCTTTTCATTTAGGAGGCTAAAAACAGAATCAGCTTGACTTCAAGGACTCTATTTTCTTAGTCTCCAGAATATGACCAAGTCCAGCATTTAAAATATTGCTCTTTAATATGTCAAGATATTAAATGAAAGATAATTTACAACTTCAAGTTTTAAGAGCACTGAGCTCTTTACATATGCTCATGTCACTGCAACTAATGGTTAATTAATCTAAATGCAAGATAATAGCTATTTGGAAAGAAGACCCCAGCTAGTTGGCAACTTTTCTGTCAGTAGGTAGTCTACCAGAAGGAACATGACTATGACCTGGGCACAGCAACTGCTCCTGAAGTAGTGGTGATTTTACTGGAGTCATTTCTGCACAGGTGCTGATTTGCTTCTTGTTTGCTGCTATTGCCAATCACAGAAAACACCAAGCCTAATTCACAGATGGACAGCTTTTTCTTCGTTTTTCCAGACTATGTCAGAATCAGGGTTTTCTATTCTATTTTTACCTACTCAAATCTTGGTGGACTTAAATCTTCATTGATTTGAAATGTACAAAATAAATAGCCTGTAATTGATTTAAACAACATGCAGTGACTCAGACAGCCAATAAAAATGTTTTTGCAGCATGAACTTGGATCCTAATCTTGCTGTTTCCTCCATTCTCATTCCTAAGCCAAAATGGGAATCTTTTTTAAGAGATGCCCTTAAATTCAAGCAGTCTGGATTGGCAACAGGAATATAACATATTCAATACGAAAGTAACTAACCAAAAGAACTGCATTTTAGTAAAGCAGGAACACAGTTTTTAGAGATGGATCTGCATTACTTCTTGGTAAACCTATTATTCTGTCACCCAGATTCCTACCCTTCTATTTCCTTTCACATTCCAAACATCCTTCTAATCAAGGGGTAAAGGAGTAGAAACAGAGAAGGAAAAAAACAAAAGCATTATCCAGAAGAAGGAAAACACTTTGAAAAAGGTGTTAAGATACTTGATTACAATCCTTTGTACCATTTACAATCTACAAACCAGTCACAAATTCCTAGGCATTCAAAATGGAACTCCCATCCTTGTCTACTTACTGCCTGTATAACTCAAAAAACACCTCTGGGAAGTACTGCCTAATTCCTCTCTCTCCCAAACTGAGTTGAGTACCACATACTTACCTACTTTGGAATACTTAAGTGGGAGCTGGATTTAAATGGTGTATGCCTGTAATCCCAGTGGCTCAGGAGAGTAAGGCAGAAGGATTGCAAGTTCAAGGCCAGCCTCAGCAGTTTAGCAAGACCCTGTATCAAAATAAAATAAAAAGGATTAGCAGGACTAGGGTTGTAGCTCAGTGGTAGAACACTCATCTAGCACACGAGGCACTGGGCACGATCCTCATGTGCTGTTCGAAACAGCAACACCACATAAAAATAAAATTAAGGTATTGTGTCCACCTACAACTAAAATTTAAATATTTAAAAAATAAAAACGTTTGGGAAGGTAGCCCAGTGGTAAGCACTTGCCAAGCATGTGCAAGGCCTCAGATTCAATCCCTAGCACCACCACCACAAAAACAAACAAAAAATGCAATGGCTAAACTGGCTTCTCTGCTCCACTTGACTATAAGCAGCTCAAAAGGCAAGGGCTGTGCCTCCATGATCTCTGAATGATAAAGAATATGGAAACAACTGCTTTCAGCTTTCAGAGAGCTCATATACCTGAAAAGACAAGAGACATCAAAGCCTGTTCCAGATCAAAGTAAAAGCCTCTTCAACGGAAAGCAAAGCATCCTTCAAATCTGCGGGTGGAGAGTGAGGTTAACAACATGGAACAGTCATTTTCAACCTTTCTTCTGTCTCAAAACACTCATGACATCAGACACAAAAGTCCCACCGGTAATTGCACATTGTGGTGACTTCGAATCTGGGAAGACTGGGAAGGGGCACAGAAGAATCTGGGTAGTGGGAAAGATGGCATGTAGTTTAGAACATTCTTCCCATTACTGTAAGATAACTTGAGCACTCACATTTAATATAGTTTTAACTATTCTAAGATAGCCCAAAGATCTACCTGTGTGTATTTTCAATGTTCTGAATTAAACATTTAGCACATAATCCCTAGATGTTGGTGCATAGAAGTTGCCCACTTGGCCACTAAGTTTGACTGTTTCTCTGGTATTTATAGCACAACACAATTATGTGACTCTAAGCTAGATGCAGAATCTAAGAATTTTACAGAGAAAATTATACCCTGTAGAGGTAATAACAAATTTAGGTATTTATAAATATCATAGGTGGTTCCTTCTCAAATGTCAAGTGTCTTTAAAACTCATTTTATGGGAAAGACTCCTTCACAAATGATACAAAGCAACAATTAAAGTAGTTCAGTAGCAGCCAGATACAGTAGTGTACACCTCTATTCCCAGCAACTTGGGAGGCTGAGCCAGGAGGATTCAAGTTCCAGGGTAGTCTTGGCAACTTTTTTGAGAATCTGTATTAATTTTTTAAAATAAACATATTAATTAAAAAAATAAGAGCCAAGATGCAGTTCAATGGTAAAGCACCTAGGATTTAAGTACTGGGGTAAAAAAAAGATATTGTCAGTACCTAACTAACAGTCCTTCTCTAAACAACTTTGGCCAAATTTATATATTTTTTTGGTAGGGTAAAAATCAAATGAAGGGGGGCAGGGGATGTGGCTCAAACAGTAGCGTGCTCGCCTGGCATGCGTGCGGCCCGGGTTTGATCCTCAGCACCCATACAAATAAAAGATGTTGGGCTGGGGATGTGGCTCAAGCGGTAGCAAGCTGGCTTGGCATGGTGTGGCCCGGGTTCGATCCTCAGCACCACATACAAACAAAGATGTTGTGTCCGCCGAAAACTAAAAAAAAAAATAAAAAAATAAATATTAAAAATTCTCTCTCTCTCAAAAAAAAAAAAAAACCAAGTAAAAGATGTTGTGTCCGCTGAAAACTAAAAAAATAAATATTAAAATTTCTCTCTCTTAAAAAAAAAAAAATCAAATGAAGGGCTGGGGTTGTGGCTCAGTGGTAGAGCACTTGCCTAGCATGTGTGAGGCATTGGGTTCTAGTCTCAGCACCACATATATTTATTTAAATGAATAAAATAAAAGTCCATCAACAACTAAAAAAAAATTTTAATCAAATGGGGGCACTTATCATTATTAAAATCTCAACCTTTTCTAAAAAGGGAATGGATAAAAAAATAAAATAAAATAAAGGCATTCTGTCCATCTACAACTATAAAAAAAGGGGAGGGGGATGGATGTCTAAAATTTTCAGTTAGTGAGATCCTGTGTTCCATTATTTTAAGTCAGAAATATATGTTTTCTCAGCTTTTCAAAGGACTATAAGCCATTTTCCCACAAAATAACCATATATAACTATTTATCCAGGATTTCTATGTAATATATAGTTTTGTTTTTTGGCTGGGGATCAAACGTAGAGTCTTGCCCATGTTAGGCAAGTACTCTCCCACTGAGCTATATCTCCAGCCTAACATCCAGAAATTTTAAATACCATTTACCCTATTTTACATAGCAATTATATTTAGCAGTATATGCAGAACTTATCCATTGAAAAATCATTAGTTTTGGATAGAGAGAAAGAACATGGAAGAGGGAAGCTGTAACACACTAGTGGTTATTGGCAAGGAAGGTGAGCAAGAGTTAACTGGCCAAGGGAATGAGCAAAAATAAAAACTGCCTGTGGCTTGTTCATGTCCAAAGCCAATGAATTGGTGGTCTTCTCAGCTCTTGATTCTCCAGGAGTTGGTCTCAACCACTGTCTGAAGCCATATAAAAAAAGCAGTCAAGGCTGGGGTTAAAGCTCAGTGGTAGAGTGCCTGCCTAGCTTGTGCAAGGCCCCGGGTTCAACCTCCCTCACCCTCTATGAAAACCCAACACGATAAAAAAGAACACAAAATGTATACCTATTTGTGTTCCTTGTGCCTTGAATTATACAGTTTCTGGAGACACACGACTGCTTGTTATTGCATTTTATATGATACTTCTGTTCATGTCATAATCAACTACAATCATTTATGTAAATAATATAAAAAGTTTTGAAACATTTGCATAAAGCAGTTTTCTTAAAATATGTCCCTCTGAGGACCTCTGAAAGCCCTTCAGGTGTTAGGTCAAAACTAAGACATTATTTGCCCTTTTCTTTCTCATTCCATGAGTACCAGCAATTTAATTGAAGGCTATCTGATGTGTGAGAACATTTATCACTGACGACTAATAAAGTGTATGCTTGTATATTCTTGTGCTCAAACATTTCTCATCTTTTACTTTCTAATACCATAAATATGGATAGAAATAACCCACAAAAACAAAAGCTCTTTGGAGATTTTTAAAGGTATCTTAAGACCAAAAAGGTTGAAATTTGTTTGTATAAAGTAGCCATGGCTCCCCCACAATGAACATCCAGTTGAATTAGTTCATTAGTAGTTACGATTTTCCATTTGCTAAGAGTTTTTCAATATTTGCTGAAGTACAATTTGTTTTCTGGACATCTTAGGCTCCCTTACTTTCTCCACAGGCTTGCCATTTTCCTGCACCACATTTACATTTCTGATATGAGAAAGATGAAAGCAATAATGCAAAAACACATTTGAACTGCACAAGGACCAAATGCCATATTACTGTAAAAGAGAGCAGAGGTTTAAGTGTAGTATACTCTACAGCACCTCACTCAGATTGCGAATAACTGACAAGTTCTTTATAGATGGTCTCATTCACATAGAATTTTGTGTAAATTTCTACAGGTTCTTTTAGCAAATAGTCACAGCAAAAGGACAGACAAGTAGTCAGCTGTAAGTCTTCTATGACAAACACATATCTTGTTGATCTCCAGGACTTCCTAGACAGATGTCTGAAACAAGTAATCAAAGTCCCATCTTCACACTGTTATTACATATATACTGCTAAATGGGATATGACAGAAGTGACATGACAGCCTCATCAACATCTATAGAATATCAAAAAGATTAACAGCCTTATCAGCATCTAAAGAATATCAAAGATAGATGATTGACACAGTTTTCCTGACACATACTGACGTATTTCCTTTGATGGATTCATACTGTATCTGAACATATATCACCATTCTCTTCACTCCTCACCTTTGACTTCTGACCAAAAGACAAATCATTAGCAATTCAGAGCACAGTGAAGAAAAAGAGGATTCTTAAATGGAAATGAGAAATTGTACTTTCAGATCAGGCTTTGTAATGAACCAAATGTGACTTTCCATCTGTGTCCTCTCCTTATGCTTCATTCTAAGCTGAAATAACAGGGATAATTAAGATGGCTTTGTTCCACCTCTAATATCAAACGACTTACCRGCAGATTTAGGAAGCTTAAAAATTCAACTTGGGGGATGGGGATATAGCTCAGTTCGTAGAGTGCTTGCCTTGTATGCACAAGGCCCTAGGTTCATCCCCAGCACCAAAAGAAAAAAAAATTGTTATTTATGGCTCATTAGATATTCTATTGGGCTGGGAATGTGGCTCAGCGGTAGAGTGCTCACCTAGTACGGGCAGAACCCGATTTTATCCTCAGCACCACAAAAAAATAAAGGCATTGTGTTGTGTCTATCTACACCTAAAAAGTAAATATTAAAAAAAAATTCAACTTCATCTGAGTGCTTAAAATTAGTCCAACAGGTACTGCTGTTCACGCAGGAGTCACTACCTGAGTTTCTACAGGCCCATATGCGTGTTGCATATGTGAAAACTGATTTTTTTCCTTTTCTAAAAAAGTATTATTGTTATAATTATTATTATTTTCGGGTACAGGGAGTGAACTCAGGCCTCGCATGGGCTGGGCAAGGAATCTACCACTGAACTACACCTCCAGCCCATTTAAAAATTTCGAGACAGGGTCTTGCTGAGGCTGGCCTCAACTTGCGATCTTCCTGCCTCAGCCTACAAGGTAGCTAGGATACAAGCTTGCGACACCGCGAACGGCTTTAACTATTTTTAAATTTTTTTTCTGTGTGAGTGCGTATTTCTCCCTTCCATATTGATTCCTATCACAGTTCCAAGTGCAACCAACCTCAGTTTTCAAAAGATGTGGAGAAAACGAGGACAGCGAAGCAAACATGAGGTCCAGCTGGCTGGTGGTACTTAACCTACCCAGTCCCCTCAACTCTACTCCCGTTCCCTGCTGCATCCCCTAAAACCCGATAAGGCAGCCAGCCTTCATGATAGGACGCCAGGGTCACTCCCCTCGCCGGTGACCAGAGGCTGGACTTACTCTACGATACAGTTCCAGCCAACGACCCGCTGTAGAGTCCCGGTAATAACTCCTCTCTTTCCGGCGGACAAGATCCTCTTCTGGTTTCCGGGGCGTGGGCAGGAAGTCCCGCCCCACGTAACAACACGACGCAACGCGAGCGGCGAGAGTTCTGTTCGCAGGGTCGGAACGAATCAGAGTGTTGAAGTTCTGTCAGAGACTGTAGGGGCGATTCCGGAGACCGGAACCTGCGTTCGTACTTCTCTGTCCATAGTCATAGGGAGTGGAGTGATGGCCTGGATCTCTCCGTGGGGTCTCGGAGAGCGGCAGGACCTTTCTCGTGACCCCGCGGAAATCCACTCGAATTGAGACTCCCTAACCTCAGCTGCCCTAGTTTTCCACTTTGCTCCACCTTCTCTCCTGTATGTAATTTCTTATTGTTTATCCTGTAGTCCCATAGGATGGCCGCCTTACATTGCGCATTGGCTTCCTGTCATCTCAGAGTAGTACAAGCTTCTAAGCGTCTGGTAATTCATTACCACTGGCGGAAACAGCCATTTGTTTACCATAGGAGGCACTGAGCCTGCATCAACCTGAACTGCGCACTGGACATGGGGCTAGGAAAATACGTAGAAGAAATAATTGTCTTTATACTTGTTTTCTGAGATTGCCATAAGAAAGTACCACATACTGAATGACTTAACATATTTGTTTTCTGGCTTTCTGGAATCTAGGAGTCTGGAATCAAGGCACAAGCATGGTCATGCTTCCTTTGAGATTCTGAGTAGATTCCTTTGTCCCTTCCTAGCTTCTGGTGGTAGCCAACAGTCATTTATGTTCTTTGACTTGAAACTGCACCACTTCACTCTCCTTCTATTGTCAGCTTTTGCTTCTGGTTCTGTGTCTTTTCTTATAAGGACATCAGTCCTATTGGATAGCAGGCCCACTTTACTCCCATATGACCTGGTCATAACTACTTATATTTGCAGCGACCCTGTTTCAATAAAGAGTTCTAGGCAGGACATGAATTTTAGGGGTGACACTAACCAACCTCATTCAGCTGAGTCTTAAGAAGTAGGCAAACCAAGAACTAACAATAAACAGCTGTAGATCAAATGTATTTAAACGTAATGCATTTGGACCTGAGACGTTTTCACAGTTATTTGGGCCTTGAAAGGTGGGTAGGATTTGGATGTCCCAAGACAGTATTCTAGGCAAAAGAAACATCACAGACAAGGAAGTACAGGCTGCACTGTAAAAAAAAAAAAAAAAAAAAAAAAAAAAAAAAAAAAAAAGGAAGGAAAAGAAGGAAGGATCTTTGATGCAAGAATTTGGATTCTAGTCTCTATAAAATTCAGAGTAAATTAAAATGTTTTGGCAGAAGAATTGTGCTTTAAAGATTAAATTGTTACCAATGTAAGCCAAAAACTACTTGTTTATTATTCTAGCTTAAGAATATTTAAATCCTGTTCTATAGGCATAACCTGTGCTTTTTTTCATCCTGGTGTCTACATATGCTGTCTCCTCTACCTGGAATGCTACTGTCAAGCTGCGCAATTTTCACTTGCCTGTTTTACTATTGTGGTTTTTATATTTTAGCATGGGGGGTGTTCATCTGACTTTACAGTATTAGTATCCTAATACCAAAACTTGACAAAGATAGCTAGCAAAGAGAAAATTAGGCCAAACTAAGGTAGATACAAAGCTCTATTAGTAAATTCAATCCTATATCTAGAACAAGAAAAGATTTGTCCCGGAAATGATTTAACATCAGAAAACGTATTACTGCTGGACATCGGGGCACATGTCTGTAATCCCAGCTGCTCGGGAGGCTGAGGCAAGAGAATCAAAGCCAGCCTCAGCAAAAGCGAATTGCTAAGCAACTCAGTGAGACCCTGTATATAAATAAAATACAAAATAGGGCTGAGGATGTGGCTCAGGGGTCAAATGCCCCTAAGTTCAATCCTTGGTACCAAAAAAAAAAAACCCTATTACTGCTGGACCTGGTGATGCCCACCCATAATCCCAGCAACTTGAGAGGCTAATTAATGCAGGAAGATTACAAATTCAAGACCAGCCTCAGCTTGACCATGTMTCAGAATCTAAAAAAAATTGGGGGATGTAGCTCAGTTGTACAGCACCCCTGGGTTTAATTCCCAGTATCAAACAAGCAAACAACAAAACAACAAAAAAAGAAAGATAATCTATTACTGTAAATCATTGTATTAGTCAGCTTTCCCTTGCTGTGACAAAATGAGAAAAGCAGAAAGAAAGATTGGCTCATGGTTTCAGTCCATAGTTATTTGGCTGGCCCCATTGCTGCGGASTTGTACTGTAACAGAACATTTTGGTGGGAGTGAATGATGGAGCAAAACTGCTCATCTCATGGCTGCCAAGAAGGCAGGGACAAAAATATGTTCTTCACAGTGACCTACTTCCTCCAAGGAGGCTTTCCCTCCAAGTTTCCACCACCTCCTAATAGCGCCACCAACTGGGTACCAAGCCTTCAACAGTCATCATATTAATAAGTTAAACATTTAATACTGTATTAGTGACTCAGTGGATAGCAAAAAAAAAAAAAATTAAATAAAAATTCAGTATCTACTTTGATTTCAAAAAACTTATTAGGAGGCAGGGGCAGGAGAATTGCAAATGCAAGGCCAGCCTGAACAACTTAGTGGGTCTCTGTCTCAGAATAAAATTGAAAAGGGTGGGAAAGTAGTTCAATATTAGCATGTTTGCTTAGCATGTGTAAGGCTTTGGGTTCAGTCCCCAGTACCATATAAATGCACACACATACTTTTAGCAAAATGGGAATCGATAAATAGTTTGATAAAATGCATTTATCAGAAATCTATAGTATACTTTGTACTTAATAATAGAATACAAGCAATCCTAATATTGTTAGGGAAAAGACAACATTGCTAATGTTCAACATGGTGTTAGATTTCCTACTCAATGCAATAAAACAAGAAGAAAAAGCATGAAGGAAGTAAGAAATGAAAATTCCATTTTCAAACAATGTGATTTTCTTTCTAAAAAATAAAGTGAAGCTGGGCATGGTGATGCATACCTGTAATCCCAGCAACTTGGGAGGTTGAGGCAGGAGGATTGCAGGTTCAAGGCTATTCTCAGCAATTTAGGCCCTAAGCAACTTAGTGAGATCCTATCTCAAAAAAGAAAAAGGGCTGGGGATGTAACTCAATGGTAAAGCACCCCTAGGTTTAATCCCCAATACCAAAAAGAAAAAGRTATGACAAACTATTAGATGGCAGAGCAAGGTGGCTAAGCAGATTAACATATAAAACATATTTTTCTTCTATACCAGTAATAAAACAGAAAAAAAGGAATGCATCCAAAGATGCCAATATCAAGTACTTAGGAATATGCTAAATGAAAAATATATGTGACTTGTGGGAAAATGTGAAATATTGAAAGAYATTAAAGGCTTAAGTAACTTGAGAATTTATGTTTCAGGATGGGAGAACCCCATGTTGTAAAGATATCAATCTATTGCAAATTAATAAAAAAATGTTTGATAGGATGACTATTAAAATATTAATAGGATCTTTCCAAATAACGATTTGATGAAAGTATGTTATTTTTTGATACACTATTATATTCCATTTATTTGTATATTTGATCTCTTAAGAGTGAGATTGGTATGTAGGATTTTTCCCCCTACTGTATTAATCAGGTATTGATATTTAAAGTTATACTAGATTCCTCAAAATAAATTAGGGAGCATTTTATGTTTTTCTGTAGTATGAAATAATTTAAGTAACTTTAGAGTTATCTCCTTTTTTAAAGCTGAATAGCTAATTTGTGAAACTATTTTGTTATATGATGTAGTATTATATGATTGATTTATAGTCATGTGTCTATTCTATGGTAATTGGAGTATTCAACTTTTATACTTTTTTTTTCAACTGTGGTAATTTGTATTGCTTAAAATCACCCATTTTAAGGTTTTTCAAATTAGTTGTTATTGGGGAATGCTCTTGTAATTCTTTAATTTGGCCTGCTCATCTGATTGTTTACTGTCTCATTTCTAATTTTTTCTAAGATCCTTCATTTTAATTTAAAAAAATTTTTAGTTGTAGTTGGACACAATAGCTTTATTTTATTTATTTATTTTTATGTGGTGCTGAGAATTGAACTCAGTGCCTCATAAAAGCTAGGCGAGCACTCTACTATTGAGCCACAACCCAATCCCATAAGCTCCTTTATTTTAATCTCATTTTTAGTGAAGACATTTTAAGGTTATAAAATTGCCTCTGAATGTAGCTTTGTATTGTGTTCCATACACTTCAGGGCAAAGTGTTCTTTTTCATTACTCTTTATATAGGTTGTAATTAGCTTCAAAAAAAGGATTTTATTTTTAGAACAGTTTTGGCTTCACAGAAAAATTGAGGGAAAGTAATTGTGATATCCTATATGTCCTCTATCCCTACTTGTGCATATCTTCCCCTATTATCACCGTCTTCCATAACACTTGTTACAGTTGATCAACCTGCATTGGCACATTATCATCAAAAGCCTGTAATTTACATGAGTATTCATTATTGGTGTTGTACATTCTATAGGTCTGTATAAATGTATAATAACATATATCTACAATTATTGTATGATACAAAATGTTTTCACTGTCCCCTAAATTATTTGTGTTCTATTTTCCCCAACCCTTTTCACTGTCTCCATAATTTTGACGTTTCAAGATGTCATATAATTAAAATCACATAATATGTAACCTGATTTCAGATGGATTTCTTTCACTTAGTAATACATATTTAATTAAGATTTCTTCAGTATTTGTGGCTTCGTAGTGCATTTCTGTTTAGCACTGAGTAATATTATTGTGTGAATGTGTTATAGTTTATTTATTCAGCAGGCAAAGGCCTACTGAAGCTTTGGCAGTTATGAATAAAGCTTTCACAAACCTCCATGTTCAGATTTTTTTATATATTTATTTTTTAGGTATAGTTGGACATAATACCTTTATTTTATTTATTTATTTTTATGTGGTGCTGAGGATCAAACCCAAGGCCTTGCATATACTAGATGAGYGCTCTGCCACTGAG